CCACATGTGCAAATTTGACATCACCGATGCTTTTAAAATCATTCCTTTGCATCCATCCATTTGGAAACTGCATGGTGTTAAAAGGCAGGGTAACTACTATTTCTTTGTTAGACTGGTTTTTGGCAGCAGATCCAGTTCAAAAATTGTTGATATGCTGTCTACAGCGATCTGTTGGATTGCTCAGTTTAAACATGGTATTAGGTATATTCTGCATTTATTAGATGACTTCCTAACTATAGATGTTCATGCAGAAAATGTTATGCGTTCCATGGCAGTTATGACTATGATTTTTAATTTACTTAGGATACCCTTGGCTAAGCATAAAACCCTAGGCCCAGCCCAGGAACTTGAATATCTTGGTATTTTGCTTAGTTCTAAAGACATGACTGCTTTCTTACCTGCTGATAAAAAAAGCACGAATATTGACCAAGTTTGCTGAGGTTACATCTAAGAATACAGTTACAAAGCAGCAATTGTTATCATTATTGGGGCACCTTAATTTTGCAAAGAGAGTAATCACACCAGGGAGATAATTTCTTTCACATTTATTACAGTCTATACCTTCCAGTTGCAGTCATGCTGCAATCTGCCATTCCATACTAACATCATGCAGTTATGTTTTCAGTCTTAGTCTAGTTTGTATTTTAGTTTAGAAACTAAGCCAGCTAGTTTACACCTGCTTTGTTCTACATTTTGGAGGCGGCACCAGGGACCATCTTATCAGTCTGTTATGCATTGTCTCACTTTTGTGTACGATGGTCTTGTGGTGTGCCCCCCTATTTGCCAAATAAATTATTGGTTCATGTACAATGCTCTTGTGTTTGTGACGCAAATCTCATGCTCTCTCGCGTGATATTTACGAAGATCTCGCACTTTCTCGCGTGGCTCAACTTCACAATCAGTTTGTTTCTGGCGCCATATTGGAAGTAGCCTGAAAGTGTTACGGAGCTTAAGCTATTCTCGTTTTATCCACTCGCCACGATCCCCATTCTCCTCCATTAGGCTGGCATTAACACCAATTCGGGGACTTCGCTTATGGGATTAGCTCATATCCCCCAAGATCATTCATATTTTTCTTAGGTATATTTTGTGTGGGTTTTATTATTGTAATTACTAATACCTCATTAACGACTCTAGTCACACTTGCCAGCATAAATCTGACCAAATAATTAACTAAATTGCATTAAATCTTAATAGAAATTATTATATAACACAAGCTCTGATTTGTTTCTAATCCAACTAAATCTGGATGTAAATTGTAATCAAGTGTAATTAACAATGTTAGTAACGAAACCTCTACCTACAATCAGACTGGACTACTCACCACTCAACAGGTGTACAACGCCTCTACCAGAAAATTCAGGACTTTCTCCATTTTCAAACATTTTCAGTTGCTGTAAAGAAAAAACACTGAACTAGTGATCTAGGGCATTTTAAAACTTTCAAATAGTCACATGACCACAGCTGTCTTCAACACACCATCTAAGTTGTATTGCAGGGGCAGTGTAAAGCCAATGATTTTACCAAACAATTTATGACTGAAGTACTGTAAAATACTTATATTTTCACTTGGAATTAATTTTCGCTGAAGGAATGATTCAGTGAAAATTAAATCCAGTGAATAAACATTTTTTCCTATTTTTACACTCAACTCGTCAAAAATCAGCGACAATAAAATCCATTCAAAACACTTGAAAAGTCTTTTCAGCGAAAATTAATTCCAGCTAAAATAAAGTATTTTACAGTATGAGGATTGATCAGCCTTCATAGATGGCATCTGGAAACAAACAATAGGATACAAAAATATAGGAACTGGTAATCTGTTTCCAAGTACTTAGAAACTAGGGATTAATAATAAAATGAACCTAAAATTGATTGGGGGAGCTACAAGTTACTAATTACGTTCGTGTATTACCATAAAGTATGTACCAAATTTCAATGAAATGTGATAATTATGCAAATTACGTAAGCAGTATGCTCAATTTTTCAATCCAAACTAATCAGGTTTTTGACTCCCATGTGTGAAGCACACAATGGGAGTCTTTGCAGTTATAGTGTGTCTGTATGTATGTATGTCTGTATGTATGTATGTATGTATGTATGTATGTATGTATGTATGTATGTATGTGTGTGTGTGTGTCCGTCTGTTCCACTGCTATCTCAAGAACCATACATCGGTTTTTGATGATGCTCTGGGCAATGCACAAATTTGATTAGTTTTTGGTAAAAATCTGTGCATATTAATTACCAAATTTGCATGCTAATTAGCTAATTTTCAGCTGTTCCATGACTGTTCCACTGATATCTAAAGAACCACTTATTGGATTTTGATGAAACTTGGTATTTAGATGCTCTAGACTTGTGTGCAGATGTGATTAGTTTTTGGTAAAAATCCGTGCATATTAATTACCTAATTTGCATGATAATTAGCTAATTTTTAGCTGTTCCATGACTGCTCCACGATATCTAAACAACCACTCATTGGATTCTGATGAAACTGAATGCTCTGAACTAATGCTAGGTTTTGATTAGTTTTTGGTAAAAATTACCTAATTACTAATTACCTAATTTGCATAATGATTAGTCAATTTTCGTTTTTTCCACTGATATCTCAAGTACTAATCATCACATTTCAATGAAACTTGGTACATAGATGTCATATGACACTGCACAGATCTGATAGTTTTTAGGGTAATATTATAATATTAATTACCTAAGTTGCATAATTGATTAATTAATTTTCAGCTTTTGATGTTTCAAGTAGTAAGCATTACATTTCAATGATACATAGATACTCAAGGACAATGCAGAGATTGATTTTTTTGGGATAAATATTTGTGCATATTTATCACTTAATTTGCATAATTAGTTAATTTTCAGCTTTTCCACGGATATCTGAAGTACTAATCATCACATTTCAATGAAACTTGGTACATAGATCTTCTAGGACTATGCAGAGACTTGATTAGTTTTAGGGTAAATAATTGTACATATTAATTGCCTAATTTGCATAATTAATTTTCAGCTTTTCCACTGATATCTCGAGTACTAATCATCACATTTCAATCAATCTAGAACTATGCAGAGACCCAATTAGTTTTTGGTAAATATTTATGCATATTAATCACCCAATTTGCATAATTAACCAATTTGCCACTTTCACACTGATATCTCAAGTACTAATCATCACATTCAAATGAAACGTTGTACATGGATGCTGTAGGACAATAGACAGACCTAATTAATTGTGGGTTAAAATCTGTACATATTAATTACCCAACCAATTTTAGACTATTACACTGATATTTAAAGTACAAATTATTCCATTTCAATGAAACTTAGTACAAAGATGCTCTAAGACAATGTACAAACCTGATTAGTTTGGGGTTAAAATCTGTTGATATAACGTCAAAAGTTCAATGTAGGATAAAAAACTTAATTCCTTTAGTTTTTTCCCAAACCCCCCTACCCCCCACTGAAACTTAATTGATAAATATTGACCATGACTACATTCACCATTAAATTCAAATTGATAATCCGACAGTAGTATGGCGTAGCAGTAGGTTGTCTGGTGGGTGTAAAAAGGCTTTACACTCGGACCAAACCATTTTCTCATCTTGGATGTTTTTTTTTCATTTTCTGTTATTTTTGTCAATGATTGGATAGAGAAAAAAACGAATTACAAATACTCCAAGATTTTTTTGACTTCATTAAAAAATAAAATCGTTTTTGTAGGATAGAAACTTTTTGAGGTCAAAACCCCCCACCCCCAAACTAAAGCAAATAAGTTTTTTATCCGACATCGATCTTTTGACGTCGCCCCTAATTAGCATAATAATCCATAATTTTGTGGTTCTAATCACATTTCAATAAGACTGGTACATAGATGATTTGTTACATTGCGCAGACCTCATTAGTTTTACACTCAAATCTGTTTATATTAATTTTCTGATTTGCATAATTAGTTTTCAGCTTTTCCATTAATATCTCAAGTACAAGTAATTTTGAATTATTTTTAATTTGTTCCTAATACTCTCAGCACATGGGAGTTCTTTCTAAGCTTTCTTTGATTAAGCATTGTTCACAGGTATTTGTATATGAGCGTATACATATATATTTTTGGTTTGGTATGCAAAGTCTAAGAAAAACAACCTTACATTATCAATAGGTGTTACTTTGCTTAACATATCATCAATAAGCTCTGTTCTCACTACTCCAGGGTACAATGAAACAGCTGCAACACTGTGTGTCCTTAGTTCCTGTGCACAGTCTAATGCCATTTTGTCTACCTACAAGACAAGTACAAAGATAATAGATTTTAATGATAAAATATTTAGAGAAAAAGTTAAGGTTTTATATTTTTGTTTCTGCATACTTACAGAGTGAATATGGTATTGATATTATATTTAGAGATATCACAAATTTTGACTGTTTTCAAATTAAATAACACAAGTAACATGAATGAAATTCTCTGTTCAGTAAGGATGGTGGCACAATTCACAACTGATTGCAAATATCGTCCTCACTTAAAGATAATTTAATGCAGAATAGAGTGACACTCCAACATAATGCGAGTAACTTGGCAGGTATACAATTGTCCTTTGACACTAAGTAATACACAAAAATATATTTAATATAAAAAATTGAAGATTTTAATTAATAAACAAATGACAGAAATATGATTAATTTGAAGTAAACACCAGAAATAAAATAGTAAATAGTGATAATAAGGGTGCATATGAGTATTAGTCACAAAAATAAACTGTCTGTATAGACAGCTAAAACAAATTCCAATTTTTTTTAGTAAAAACTGAAAATTGACTCAAATTTTGTCTGGCTCCAACAGAAATATTGGAGAATATAAGAAAAAAGTGCAGACAAATTTGAGCAAGAAAGTCATTGTGAAAAGGTTAAAAACTGGCATTATTGAAGTAAAATAAGGATTAAATACATGTTTTACATATAGAAATGGATAGATACAGCAATATTGACCTTAGTAACGATAAATGTCAAGTCTATAATGACAGTGAAATCAAAGATGAAAAACATTTCTTGCTAAAAATGTAAACTATATATGAGTGAAAAAGATCCACAATTCACAGATACTGTATAACATCAAATAAAACAGATTCAAATTATTTATTTATAAAATCTTATTGTCAACTGCCTCATTTTTGTTTTATTATGTTTTTGCTACTCAAGCCTGTGTAATTGTTTTTTCTTGTCTTTTTTATTGTACTAATTAATAAAAATTCAAACGAAGATACGTTTATTATTAGGTACGTATGTGCAAGTAATTAAAAGACAGACAAACAGAACAGTCGCAATTAATACATGTATAAAGGAAAAGGAACTACAGTAATACTGACCCCTGCTTTTCCAGCACCATAAGCAACGTTAAACAGGTACATCAGTCCACCTGGTGACGAGATGTTGATAATCAAACCCTGCTTTGCTGGTACCATCATTCTTGCTGCAAACACTGATGCAACATAATGGCCCCTAAATACAAGAAATATGGAAATACTCAATTAGGCATAGTATTGTATAATGGTGATTAAAAAAAAAAATTTTGGCAATTAAGTATACGTGTTCCAGTGACTGTAACATTGGAGACTGTTAATCCATAAAACAAGGTACCCTATCTGCTGAATCATTAGTGTATACACTTGCGTAAATTACAGAAGCATATTCACAGTCAAAAAAGTTATATTTTAATAATCCTGCATACAATAAATGGAATTTCTTGCTTATATGTGCTTCTATTAGAGATACACTTCAAACAAATCATGCATGGCACAGTCCCTGTTAGTTATCAAATTTAAGATAGTTTTGTTTATAGTAATATAGTTTGAACATAAACATATCAGAGATGTGGATCCAGAAGCTGATGCTTGATTATGATGATTTTTTAACATTAAAAATGGTTAACATTCAGTTATCTTGTATCTGATCATCAAACAAGTATTTGTCCATATTGAGAGATATTGTTCTGGAAGAGTAATAATTAAAACAAAAAGGCCACCAGTCGGTCATTTTGAATACATCTGTATATCTATGATGTATAATGAATATATAAAATTTGAACATAATCAGTCAAAGCATGTCAGAGATATGACACGAGAACCGCATTAATTAATTAAAACAAAATGGCCACCAGTCAGCCAATTTAAATTTGATCTGAAAAACAAAATGACGTGCATCAGGGACAAATAATGTCTAGTGTATGTACCAAGTTTGAATGAAATCCATCCATAAATGACTAAGATCTGGTTCTGGAATGCCACGAATGCTTGATTTTTGATGATTTTTTTAGCACAAAAATTGCCACAATTAGGCCAATTTGAAAAAGATGTTCAAACCAATACAACTGTATATCTATTACATGATGTATAATGAATATACATGTCATTTAATAGGAATGTAATTGTAGTGCATTAATTACAATATTATCTACTACCAACAGATAACTAATTGACCTTTTCACCACCATTTCTCTCTTTTCATCACAAATATCCCCATTTATAGTCCTTCAGAAGATTGGGACAAAAATAACCAAATTTTTTGAGTAGAAACTAAAAATTCACTCAAAGTTTGTCTGTTGGCTCCAAAATTAGGGTTCATTTCTAGAAATATTGAAGAATATGAGAAAAAAAAAGTGCAGAAAAATTTGGCAAGAAAGTCTGGTGGTGAAAAGGTTAAATGTGCGCAATTCACAAAACATAAAACATTTCTTCAATTTTAATTACCTTCAATTGAATTTAAAGTTTATTGGAATTTTATTTGATGTTATAACATGTGAACTGAGGTGAAAATTGGATTCCTCACTTCAAGTCTAGTTACATAGGGTTGTGAGCCAACATTTTTAATTGAAATCATGGTATTTCTTATCTATCTCAATATTATGCTTGTCAAATATTTAATAAAAATTGAAAAACTTACCTGAGTCCAACATTATTCACAGTATCCCACAATTCAGGTTCCAATTCCCAGAATGATTTTGCTGAGAAACCAGGTTGAGACAATGTCTGAATAATTAGAAATAACTTGGATATGAACTTGAAGCTGGAGACCCAGAGTTCTGGGGGAATCAGTACAAATGCATATTACAGCGTATGACATGTGTACTGTGTTACAAATCGATTACAGTTTCAGTAGTCACTGGGTTGGGTTGGAGTGGCTTGTTTGCTGGAGTATAATAGTGGTAACGTCACTTATATGCGGGCTTTGAATATGAACACATATGATTATGGTTTGATTGACAAACCTCATTAATGGTGCTGAATGTTACCATTACATGTAGCTTATGATGACGCATGTCCTGTGGAATACGGGGAAAAGGGCCTGAAAGCAGCACACTATGTAGACACATCTCATGAATATTATTTCAAAGTGAAATTATTAATAGAAAGCATTGAATATGAAATGCCAGAATCGCATATATTTAGTCTTGATCCCCCCTCCCCCACTCTGTCTATTGTGGTTATTTGAAGACTGTACTCATACTAGACTGGTTACCAAATTTAACAAGTGCCTGTGTTTTCACTGTTTGTCGGTGTGAGTGTTGGCAAGCCGAAATAGGTTTTGATTGTATACAGCGCCACCAGTGGCTGTTCTCCATGTCAAGTAAGTTGAAATAACTCTTTGAATGATATATTTTTTCTCACCAAAATTTTGTTACATTTTGCCTATTTTTATGTGTTTTTTAACAATTTTATTGAATAATTTTTGGAAAAATGAACATCATTTTCTATTGAAGACAAATTGTCATCAAAATTTTGTTGCAATAATGAGTTGCATACTAGTATCTAGTAGAGAAAGGCATAGTTTACTCAACACATCATTATAAAATACACACAATGAAATTTTTAACTTCAAGAACACAAAACAAACAACTAACGAGTACACTACAAGGAAAAATATATAGACTTGGTGAAAATTGTTGTTGTTTAATCACTCTATTTTTATGAGCGAGAAACAGAGGGGAGTCCTATAATGAATAAAGGGCATGATGTTCTTTTCTGATTTTTCAGTGACAACCACCAAAAATCAAACTAAAACACTTACAAGAGGAGGGCAAGGGTTATTTTCGTTCAACGTAATTGCAATATTTTTTTGTTCGTACAACGTAAATTGAAAAAATAAATCGCATAATCACAAGCTAGACGTACAACGTAATCAATCAAATATTTTTTTTATACACTGTAAAAATGTGTCATTTTTCTCGGTACGTACAAGAATTTACATCCAAATAAAAAATAGTCGTAAAGAATAATCCAGGGAAATTACATTTTCAAAACTGTAAAATGACTAGATGACACAATTCACTGCAAAATTCAATTTTCACTGTAAACTGTAAAAACGTCTTTTTTTTCCTTGTAATTTGTAAAAAGCCCTTTTTATTTCCCGTAAAACTGTACCCTCTTACAACTTTTATTTCCCCTTACTTTTGATTCGATAATTTGACTCATGGTACTTACTTTTACAGCAGCGTACGCATTGTTAACCAAGAGATCCAATCGTCCATTTTGTTCTTTGTTGATTTTATCGAATAATTCTTCTACTTGTTTATCATCTGTGTGATCACATTTCACTGGTATACAGGTGCCACCACGTTCTTCTACCTGTTCATATCAACAATACATCTCATATTATAGAACCACAACAGCACTCAAACTCAATAGCACATAAAATGACTTTATTTAATACACATTGTTCAAACTGTAAGCTGGCATATTAAGGGGCAGTGGGTCCCATACAACACATAGCAACGTATTATCCTGGAAATAATTAAATCATGGTGATTTACATAAGGTTCAAAAGTGTTTAAATGCATGTGGCTCAACGTATTTAACCCTTATTCTTGACCAGATGTGAGTTAATTGTATCAATTCAATTATTTGCATTTTAACCAAAATACTGATTCAACTGTTCTAAATGTGAGTACCTGTTTTGCCGTTTCTTGCAAGGATCCTGGTAATGGTGTGTCATTCAGTGCAAAGGTGCGACCTACAGGATTACAAAGTACAATACGATGGGTTTGGTGCCAAAACTTTGGAATGTACGAAGACCTTAAAATTACTGTAAACTGCTTCAAATTTGAGAGAGAAAAATTTTACCAAATTTCACACTTCAGTGAAAATCACAACATTTTGTATCCTTGAAAAGTGTCATTGTCTTTTGTGAATTTTGTATTCACAAAAACCATAAAATATTGAAATCGTTTTACAGTATATATTTTCCCGGTATTATATTTTTGAACAGAAACTGGTTATATTTTAATCTGGGCATAATCCTAGATTTAATAAATCTTGAAATTCCACAGAATGAAAAACTGAATTCTGAATATCAATGTTTCACTGTACACACGGCAAAATGAAATAAATTGCAATTCATCTTATATACCGTATTTGTGTTTGTGTTGCCTGTTTACCCTGGGACTAGTATACTATGAAAACATTCCATTCGACTTGTTTAACCGTCTTTGTTTATTTGTTTATGTTTTTATTTTATCCGAGTTTTAGCTGGAGCTTTGTGTATTTTGAAAGACGAAGGATATAATTGTTTGTGTTTATTCATGATGACTCAACAGAAAAAAAAAAATCAGTATTCAGCCACCTAATACGTCCCAATTCACATTCGTCCCATTTCACATTTGTCCCAATTCACATTCGTCCATTTATTTTTATTTTTGGTCAGCATTACAATCTTTAGCAGGGTCAATTTCTATGCTAACTGTTACTGACACGCTAACTAATAACTCCACGTTGCGTGAATGGTGTTTTTGTATTTCTTAACTAATAACTGTAGGTTGTGTGTACGGTGTATTTGTATTTATTAACTAATAACTTGTACGTTGCATGTAAGGTGTATTTGTATTTCTTAACTAATAACTCTACGTTGCGTGTACGGTGTATTTGTATTTATTAACTAATAACTTGTACGTTGCATGTACGGTGTATTTGTATTGATTAACTAATAACTTGTACGTTGCATGTAAGGTGCATTTGTATTTATTAACTAATAACTTGTACGTTGCATGTAAGGTGCATTTGTATTTATTAACTAATAACTTGTACGTTGCATGTAATGTCCACTTGTATTGATTAACTAATAACTTGCACGTTGCATGTAAGGTCCATTTGTATTTATTAACTAATAACTTGTACGTTGCATGTAAGGTTCATTTGTATTTATTAACTAATAACTTGTACGTTGCATGTAAGGTGTATTTGTATGTAACGTCGGCAAAAACAAAATGGCGTAACGAGCAATTACCCATGCCGGTGCATGACGTGTACGTGAACAGTTCGTTGTTTGGATTATTTGTGCTTATTTGGCGAGTTAGTAGTGGACCAACCTTAAATC